AATTTTATTTTTATATTTTTTTTGGTTATCTATTATTATTTTTATTAAATTTTTAAAAAATACCTAAACAAAATTCTATTCACAATGTATAACTTACAATAATAAAATTGTTGAAATGTTTATATAATGCATACACATTGAAATATTATCCTCTACTTCAATTTTAACAGCTTGGTGAAAATTGGTCATCTCTGCCATATATCATAAATTGGGCTCAAATTTCACCTTTTCTACTTATTGCTTTCAATTTTTGAAAGAATAATATATAAAAAAATTAGACTTTACTTGAAAATAATATAGTTGAAAGACCCACAAACTTTAGCTTTAAAGTTAAAATGTGACATTTTCTTATAACTCTTCTTTTATTTATTTTCAACCTCTATTTTAACTTGTCGCATTTCATTCAAAATTCTAATTCTTAACAAGTGATATCAGCATGTGATTTTTCCTATTTTGAACTTGTCATTCACTGTTCACCATTCTAATTTTTAACATGTCATAATTTGATTTTACAGCATGAGGTAATTGGGTAACAATTAATAAAGATTATTATTCTAACGATGTTAGGGATAAGGGTGGTTTATGATAAAACTTTATTAGCTTTTGTTATGTTTAACTAATTCTGAAGCTCATCAATACATTGTTGAGCTTCTTACAGTCACACATTTAGATGCTGATTGTTTTGTTATTCTGCGTTAAGCCTCTCACATTGAGATCTTGATTACTCTCTTTGTTGAGTTGCACCTCAAGGTGATGATTCTAATCTTGATCACTCTCTAAACTTTGCTAATTCAAAGTTTGTCGGAGTATATAAATCTCATTCTATAAGTGGCATCACAGCCTTGTTTTACAATATGATGGGAATTAAGTGATAATTGAGATTATTATTCTCACAATACTAGGGATAGGGGTGCTTGATGATGAAGCTTCATTACCTTTTATATGCTTAACTATTTCTGAAGCACACTAATATAACATCGAGCTTCTTGCAATCACACATTTGATTGTCAATTATTTGGTTGTTCTGCGTTAAGCCTCACATTGAGATCCTTATTACTCTTTTCTCTAATGAGTTGCATTTCAAGGTGATGATTATAATCTTTCATCACCTTAATTTACTATCTTTTTTTACTCAAATTTTTCCGCAAAATATAAATCTTCTTCTTCATTTTATTATGTTCTTTATATAGGCTTTCAAGTGTTGCAATAGTTTCTACTAGACACTCATGTATGTTGGGGGCGAGATTCATAACTGGCACGTAGAAAATAAAGTAAATATGTGAAATAATATAAGGTATAAAAGTAAATTAAAAAAAACTTGTCCTACATGTAGAATTTTTTTTTGAATGAAAAGATAAGCTAATATATTAAAAAAAGAAAGACAAGATACAGTAAAAAAAATACAACCAGAAATCAAGACAAAACAGCAAAACCTTTCAAAATCCAGCTTCTCCTAATTTGAAAGAGGTAGATGATGGGAGGTGTTGAAAGAATTTGTAGAAATAACACAAGTCCTGATACTATTTCTAATATAATCACTAATATTTTCAAAAGAGAAATTAATCAAAACATTCCAATCTTTCATGAGAAGTCTGCTTGCAAAAAATTATCATACAATTGTTTTTTTTTTTTTGAATAGAAGGCCACGGAAAAACCGTGTAGATAGACATATTAAGTCATATCAGCATACAAAAAGTTACTACAACCAAAAGGTAGGCTATTAAAAATTTGAACAATTGAGTTGTCGGGAAAGGCTTGATGGGTCATCCAATCTGTGCATTTGTTAACCTCTCTGAAAATGTGATTAAAAGTGACTGTCCAATCATGTATAAAAAGGTCTCTGATTTTATTAGTAGTTGCAGCAAGCGAATGAGTATTAAAAACTTATTACATATGAGCGTAATTGCATACAATTGGTTATTTGAAGTGAAGTCACGAGTCAAGGAATTGAAACTTTTTGCACAATTCATGACCACTTTAATCATTCTATATCCTCTTTCCCAGCACTATTCCAAGCATTAGATTAATCCCTGGATCATGACAGCACCTTCCATATAGTTTAGCACTGATTTGTGAAAGCCATTATCTCATTCCCTGCCTTGATTACAGATTGCAATCGCATATCTAAAATCCACCACCCTCGAGCATTTATCCTACATGTAGTATTGATTTTACATGAATTGTTTGTATTTTTTGACTAATAATCGAGAGACTTTAATGGCCTCATATTATTTATCGATTCCAATGGAATTTAACAATTGACAACATAGATCTTGAGATGGTCCATGAAATGCAATTTATAGTGAAAATATAACCCAAAACTAGAACGAAAAAGTGCCAAAGCAAGAAGACTTCTTAGGCTCCTTCGATGTCCAAATGAAGATGCAAGATTATTCGCTAACTGGAGAAAAAGAAAAAGCAAGAATATAACAATACTCTGGATATGAAATGTCCACTGTGTCCCATTTTATCCATGTGGCATTGTGGCTGCTACATAAACATTTATTGATGGTGTGAGGTGATTTAAATGAGATTCATGAGGGTAGAGATTAACATGCTTAATAATAATTGTTTAAAGAGAAAATAATATTATTAAAATACTAAATATTGTGTTATCTCTTTTTGTATGCGAATTATATTTTTTAATACTATTTAATATATTAATAATCTTTCAAAATAGATAAATAAGAATTACTTTTTTAAAATTCTTTTCATATGTACGATTGCAATCATTATTTCCTTGTAAATTGCAAGAACTATACTTTTTGATCAAACTAATATTTGGTTTAATTGTATTGGATGGACTAAAATAGGTTATATTATTTATAACTTACAAATCATAATTGTGAAAATGCTTATATAATGCATAAATATTCAAATTTTATCTTCTACTTCAATCTAATGGCCTCGAAGAAATTGATCTTCTCTGCCATATATGAAAGGGCTCAATTTGCACCATTTCTATTTATCGGTTTCGTTAATATTTAAATTTGACAATTTTTTTTTTTTTTTTTTGGTGAGGGACAAATGATATGCTCTACCAGTGCTCCGGTAGCAAAGCTTAATTTTCTCCACGTACTGAAAGCAAAGGAAGGGATTGTATGAAATATGATTTCTACACACACACACACATGTAAGAACTGAGATTCAAACCTCAGTCACTTTTTGAAATAATAAGGCCTCTATCACCTATGTCAACTTAATTGGCCTAAAAAATTTAAACATATTGAATATATATATATAAAGATCAAAACGTTTTAAAATTATATAATATTTAAACAGACTTCTCACCTTATTATTATTTATATCTCATGATAATACAATTTTTTTTATATCTTTTAAAATTATACTGATGATATTGTTTAGAATCCCAATAAACTAAATCATGCTTTAAGTCAGCAAAATATACATCTAATTAATAAAAATACCCAAGAGTTCACAATATAAAAAATAAAAACTAATCTTAGTAAAAAAAATAACAAAGTAATATCAAAACAGTTTCAAGAAAAATAGGAATTTGGCCAAAAGAATAAAAATAAAAATAGGAAATACATAATATAAAATAAGTAAAAATGAAAAGCAATTAAAAATCTAAAAAAAACTTTAAAAAATGATTCCTCTAAATACTAGGGCTACACAAAAGACGGCTGGACATGATTTCAGCCTGACTTGAAGTTTGACCCTTTATAGGAAAAGGACTGAGCTAAATAACCTGTGGTCTGATCCTGATATAACCCAAAACTAAACAAGACCAGACTAGTCCTGTAGGACTAGGAGATTGATCCTGGTCTTATCTAATATCTGACTTTGTTTTTTTTCCTTTTTCATCTAAGGGACAGCAATTTATTTTAACATAATAAACCAATTAACATAATAAAACTACTTATAGTCATATAAAATTTATCACAACACAACAATTATAAATCATAATAATCTCCAATAACCAAGAAAAATATTTCAGTTACAACACATAGAATTCAAATTAAATAACATTCAACATGTCTAAAGTTCCTTATATCGAGTTAACAATAAATTTTATCAATAAAAGGAGAAATTGTGATTGCTTAATGCTAGAATTTTGTTCGATATCTATGACTTTAAGCATAAAACACAAAAATTACTACTTATCATTATAAATTAACTTATTATAATAATTAATAAATTAATTATAATTATATTAAATAAATTTATAGGACCAGATGAACCAAGTGGTTTTAAATGCTTCGATTTCTTGTCCAACCCAACCTGAAGAAAGAGCTTGGTCTTTTTGATATTTTGGTCTTGAAAGACCAAATTTTATCTAGACCAGACCAAACCAAATTGTCTCGAGTTAGACTAAATCGACAGGATTAAAAGACTTTAGTACAACCCTACTAAAAACATAAGAATTAAATGGTTTGAAATAGACGTTTCAATAAAAAATATTTATAGTACTTCAATTATTATAAAATCTCAGTTCTGCCACATCACCTATTATCTCAAATTTCCATTCCATCGTCAAATTCACTCTCTTCTGTTCATACCTGGAAAATCAAACTTACCAGCCAAGAAAATTAAAGCAAAGAAAACACTCAAAACAGAGAACAGGGAAGTAACCACCACCTGTAGATGTACCAGTCTCTTGAAGCAAACCCAGAAAACTCTAAAGAACTGCTAACAAGTTACTATTCACTAAAATCACAAATGCTATATTTGAATATATATACATATACATATACATATATATATATGGATTTGAGTCAAATCCCCTCTTTGAACACTTAAAAATTTATGAATTTGCAAATCGAAACCCAATTTTATCTTAGTTCCTTTATATTTGAAATCCTTTCAAAACTTTCTATTATTTCAAATCTTTATATATACCTTTGAAATACGACCTAATAATAATAACCTTTGTCATTTAAACTACCTAAATAAAAAATTTCAAATACATGCATTTGAAATGTAAGATTCTAAATCTAAATCTATTCATCCAAACAATACCTAAGTGATTTGAGGTTGAGAGAGTGACAAGCCAAGCTCATTAAGAATGCTCCGAGTCGACACATAAAAACCAGTCATTGTCTCTTCTAAATCCATTGTCTTTCTTATGTATAACCATTCTATTCTTGCTGCATCAAATCAATCACTATTTATTGAAATTGCATTAGCAATGGATGTGATTGTACATTAAGATGAATAAGGTCCATGAGGCTTTAGAGTTTCAAAGACGGCTGAAAAGTCAAGGTCTCCCAACCCCAAGCTTCTTGCTTTCTTGAAAGCCTACATACAGAGAACGCACAGAATTGGTAGGTCATGTCTTCATGAAACCAAGTAGATGAGTCCAACCTATTTGCAATTTATTTATTTATTTCAAAAGCTTTAATGACGTAGGAGAGGAAATGAAATAGAAGAACAATCACCAGTATATCAAAGTCAAAATGGATTTATTCACATATGATCAAGGAATTATAGTTCTACTAGGATACTAAGGAATAACATTCAGGTTCAAATTCCTTTTATTAAACTCTTGACTAACTTCTAAAATAATTCAAATTATTATTTATGAATTCATAATTGTTCAATAATAATGAAATGTTTACATAATAAATTGACAATGATTCCTCCTCATCTCATCTTCCATTATTTAATCAATAGGGTCGCCATTGATATAAGCCCTGATTAGACTGCAAAAAGTGGCACACTACTCAATGTCTCACTGAGAAACTGACTTAAAAAACCCACTACACAAAATGTGGATCAGCCAGTGGATGAATTTTCTTAGGACTTTGATATTAGAATTAATTTTCATTACTAAAGGTTGAAGATGAAACAGCGCTGGCTGCTAGAAATTAGGGAACGGATATGACATGCAACATCCAATTATGCACATGATCTTGAGGGAAATACAAATATAGTACTAGTTGAGAAACAGAGTATGCTTAAAACCTACAGCATCTACGCGCACAACAATAGCAACAAGAGGTTGGTTATTAAAATTGCAAAGCGTCATTGTACTCAATCAACAATTAAACCTTTGGATAAATTGTTAATTAAAAGATTTCTTTCAATAACTTCATTAAGTATAGTGTCAATGTGTATTTACTGTTTTTATTCCTTTTCTCTACCATCTTCTATTTCATTTCCATAAAACTAAGTATTCTTACTCCTCATCCTCTTTCTAACTCTGTTCACTATTCTGTGTCACCTTCCTGTTACTTCTTTATCCTACATCTATTTCACCAGTACTCCCTGATTCTGGTAGGAGAGAGCTGCTATGCAAGCATCCTTCTGCAGTTTATGCAGAGAAACTCAACAATGAAGTTTAATAGATAGGCCAAAATAAACGCTTTGTGCTTAGGCTATGCCTACTCCTGGTGTTGGGTTTTACAAATCTGGAGACTTCCCTTCTGTGACTATGCTGTTAATTAGCAGATTTTCTTGCTATAATTAGGCTAGAATTTCATTCCACCAGTATTGGCAAGTCAAAGGGATTGCATATGAATTGTATGTAGCACTTTGTTTCTGTTTCTTTTTTGGGCATATAAAGAAAATGTGAGGAGAGAAGCATTAACCTCGTTAGAAGCAGCTGCAACAGGCATTGATACAGCATTTTCATCCCCAAGGGCAAGAGCCAATCTCATATCCTTCTGCTGATGTTTCAGTGGAAAAGCAGGGGTGTAATTGTTCTGGAGCATTGTTGGTCCTTTCAATCTAAACATGGGGTTGCTAATGGCACCAAGATCCTGCACAAAACCTCAATTATGCTTAGTAATAGTATAATCAAGTGTCTGCAATTATTTTCCAGGTAACCAACTATTACCAGCACGTCAAGAAGAGTTTGAGGGTTCAAACCACTTCTTCCAGCTAGCATGAGTCCCTCTGCGAAAGCATTCATCATACTGCAAGGGTGACAACAGTACAACTAATTTGCATAAGACAAATATGAGTGTGTAACTGCTAGAATTTAATTATTAAGAGGACAATCTGCAAACTGAAGTCCTCACTATGCTCCCAAAAGAAAATGAAAATCAATGAAACAGGAAAAGAAAAAGATTACCTGCCCATTGTCATGTTAACGACAAGTTTCATTTTTGCACCATTTCCAACCTCACCTAGGAAGAAAGACTTCTTCCCCAATACATCAAACGTTGGAAGTACTTCATCATACAATGCCTGCATATGAAATGAGAAGAGTAATAAAGAACCTGCAAGAGAGCATATAGTGATACCACATATAGCAATGACAGAAAGTCCTATTTTTGTACGTTTGAATCTCAGTGTGCTTGACATATGACTCCTGGACGAGTTAAAAGTTGATGGGAGGACTTTGTATGATACAAAAAATAATAATAATAATAATAATAATAATAATAAATAAAAATAAAAACAGAAACATTTAAGGCTTGCTTGATTTTGTTTCCATTTTTCATTTTTTAAAAGCTATTTTGGAAACCATTTTTTTTTAAAATATTTTTCAAAATAAAACAAAAAAAAATCTATTTGGTTATATTAATTTGAAAACAATTCCAAGTTAAAAAAATTGGCCAATGGTAGTGGTTGGCCATGGTTGACAGTGGTTGCCAACTAAGGTGGCTGATGGTGGTTGGGGCTGATAGCAATAACTTACAATATGGCTTAAATGTTATGTGTTTTAAAAAAAAACAAAAAAGAAAATGGAAACAACTTTAATGCAATGTTTGATAGGCATAAAAGTGCTTTGTAGAAACAAAACGCTAGTACAATTATCACATTTTTTTCTAAATACATTCCCAATTTCTTTTCTAGAAAACACTTTTCCGTATACCAAACATGCATCAAGATATTTCCATTTTCTTACTTTTAAAACAAAAAAACGAGAATAGTTTTAAACAAAACCTAAATGTAAACAAAACAGTTACTCAAACAAGTTTTTTTTTGAAAAAAAAAACTGAACAATTTTTTAAAGTGGAAATCAAACAAGCCCTAGTTTGCCAACTTCAAGCTGCAAATTATTAGAAAGCAAATAATCAACTTTGCTTTGCAAGAAGCTGGAGAAAGATTTTTCTTTGTTTCCCCAAGAATAGCTCAAAACAAACAAGAATTTCAACAAATCCCTAACTCATATAATAGGTTCTGCCTCCTTTTCTTCCTCCCAATTAGCTATTACTCTGTACATGAGTTATTTAACTGTCTATAACATAAAAATATGGCTGTTGGTTCTATTTTGAACAGTAATATGATCACCGTACTTGCAATTTGTCATGATTATTCAGGGTCACCGAAGTTATGGCTGCTTAAATAGCTCATCCAGATACCAGTAAATATTACACATGCATATCTTGTCATTTGGTTACAGTCTCCTACTCAATGTGTTTCTCAAATATATGCATTTTGTCCTGGGAGATCAGCATAACAAACGAGAAAGTGTCAAAACTAAGAAAAAATTTATTAGAAGGATGCACTATAATTATGGACCACCATTGTATCTGATAATTTCGAGTCTGAGAAACACAGTGTTACAATATAATGGGGAAGAAAGAACTACTAACAATTCATATACCTCAAATATTTAAAAGTACAGCAGAACAGCGAGCAAGAGTTGTACGTAATTCCACATTTTGTGAGTATTATATTCCTTTACCTTGTCCCCAGCAGCAAGTATTACAAGTTGGCCATCTTCTGCAGGCTTCTTGCTACCTGAAACTGGAGCTTCAAGGAAGCGACCTCCTCTTGAAGTAATGACCTGTAGAAATCAGCTCAATATCAAAGTCTCTTGAACGAATTTTTTTGTTTCATCTTAAAAGTCGATTGCATGCAAACCACTGGCTTATGAATATAGCAATATAGCATGGACAATCTTAGATAAGATACACTGCAGAGTAGAATGTCAAAAATTGAGAACTTCTAAGTAATCCCCACAAAAATAGTTGGAGAGAAGAAAGAATAATGTCCAATAACACCAACTTTCTTCCTTCTGGTCTTCTTTTATATTGTCATTCTTCAATCACATGACCATTGATAGCAATAATTCACATCTTAGAAGCTCATCATCATGGTATTTTCTTGAAGATGTATTATTATGTGCAGACACTAAGTTGTTCATATTCAATTGTAGACAAACATCTTCTCCTTTTTACTTTTACACACTCATATAGGCAGGGATAACCCAAGTTGTAAAGATTTAGGGTACGTACATATAATATTACTGTTCCCCAAAATTTTTAATCTGAAAGGATGGGGAGAGAAGGATAACATTTTGATGAAATATAGGAATTAATAAATTTTGAAGAAGCTTGCTATAAGAGAAAATCTATCTTAATTTTATATTTTAATACTTTTTGTTTTTTACTCTATTTAGCAAGCAGGTTATTTTATCATTTCATGTATTAAATGGGCTGCACTCTATTTAGCAAGCGGGTTATTTTATCATTTCATGTATTAAATGGGCTGCAAGTGGATGTTTCCTTCTATGGGAGGAAACCTCCAGTTTATATATAGACGTTGCTTTTGTAACTTGGAGGTAAATTTGATGAATGAATTCATTTGAGATATTCTGAAACTCTCTCCCTCCAGTCTGCGTCCTCTCCCTCTCAGTTCCTCTTCCCTCTTTGTCCTATGCTTCCTCCTATCGTCTCTCTCTCTCTCTGTATTCTGTCTCTCCCTCCCTCCCTGTTCTCGTTCTCTCACTCTGTTTCTGCTGTACCTCCAGTTCAAATCAGTTTGAGCATGTGTGTGTGTGTTTTACATCACATTTTGTACTCTGGCAACTCAAGAATGCATCACTAGATCTTCTCATCTAGACACAAGATTCTCCTTGAGAACAAAGTGGCTAAGAACTTGATGGCCACTTCTATCATGAATGCATAGCCCTTCATCAGTGCTTGTGTTAAAGTACATATTTTTGCCCTTCCATGCTTCTAGGCTATCATAACCCTTACATCATTCAAGAATTCATACTTATAGGCTATCATAAAAATACGCCATTCAGTGCTTGTGTTAAATAAAAGCTCCATATAACATGAACAACAAAAGGGAAAAACACATATAAACCAATAACTTTCTAAGATTATTATTTCAAATCCAAGTTAGGGGATAAGACAGATAAGGAAAGTAGGGGGAGGATTTGCCAACTGTATCTTTCTGCATCACCAACATTCTCAGCCATGTATTAATCACAATCCAGAATACTGGAGGATTGGGGATGGAGTAATCTAAATAACAGAAATTTCTTAATTTTTAACAGAAACACCTTCAACCATATAAACAAAGATGCCTAAAACAAGAGAAGCAACAGTTTCTTTTTATTATGAGCTTGCCTTCACAGGCGAACAACAGAAATTTCCATGCAGCTCAACTTCAGACATAAATATATTGCACTTACAGAAAGTTGATTTAGAAACAGATCTTGGCTATTTCATACTTGAAAGGCTTTTAAATGACTGAGAAACAAATTTTATCAACATCAAGCAATGCTAACCTCAGATATTTTGAAAGAAGTATCAGCATCAACAGTTGACATGTCAATGTAACCCTTTCCATTATTAATTTGCTCTAGAACGCCATCTTTGTCAAACACCACCTAACAAACCACCATAGGAAGCAATTCAAGTGAATAAGAGAAGTTACTCATCAGAGAACTCAGACTTCAAAAAACAACCATAATTACCAACCGATAGAGCAGCTGAAGGATCAGATAACATTGCAATTGTATACTTGCATTTCTTAACTACAGCAGCAGGGGTTTCTCCAATTGAAGCTCCATGTTGGACGAGTTCATCACACTAGGTTAAAGTACTCAATGTTAGATTTTATTTGCATAAGATCAGGCCAAAAAAAAAAAAAATGATTTGCATGAGAACAAAAAGGCAATGGTGTTCTTAAATAAAAATATTTTCTTGTGCATTTAATCCTTCTCTTAATTACTAATTTTAACTCTGCTTTTTATTCAGGATTTGGGCACAAAAATAAAATATTCCAAAAAAAGGAAAAAAATACAAATGTGTTACGTTATCTAAAATTTGAACAAGATACAAGAAATTAGCTTTCTTACGGAGTCCAATTTTTATTTTCTAGCCTTCTTTTTCCTTCTTTTCTTTTGGGGTAAAAATTTATTCATTACAAAGTTCGGGCATGAAGGTGACAATTAGATTAGAAAGCTCCTTCCATTTCCACCACACAAAATCCAAGCATAACATTTTTTTTTTATCACATAAATTCAAAAACCTCTTGCTTGATCCTAATTTTTCAAAACTCTAATTTCATTTAACTTCAAAGCCTGAGCACAACATCAAATTTGCAAGTCTACGAGAACATATGCAGGAGACAAACCTAAGAAAACTTCAATGGAAAACAAAGGTCTTTTTATAGCAGAGAGCATCAAATAGCAGGGCAGCAGAAACGCATAACGCAAAAGCACAAAACTAACACTGAATCAGCCAACAGTAAATAAAAAAGAGCAATCAAAAGCCAGCATTTGGATACCCACAAGGAGCCAATAATTTTACGTTAATCATACATAAATCACCATATATTGTGTACAAACATCGAATTACAGATTGTTTAAGAAGGAAAAGCCAGCAACTTCCATCCCACACCGATACTAAACATATCCATCTCATCCGCACAAACCAGATTGACACTTAAGAGCGAAGAACACACAAATACCAACGAGCTAGTGTAAGCATTACTGCAATTAGTAGAAACAGCTGCAGAAAGACATACCTTAGAGAGGGTTCTGTTCCAGACAGTGACCTTGAAGCCATGGCGTAGTAGATTCAAGGACATAGCCTTGCCCATTATCCCCAGACCTAGAAAACCAACTTCCATCTCTTTCTCGCTCGCTCGGTGGCTCGCTCGCTCACTCTCTGCAACTGAAGTTAATTATTTTTATTTTTATTTTTTGGGACAGCCTCCCCCATGATAGCATTTAACAGAGACCAATTATACCATAAAAATTAAAAATCATTATATTTTATCCGTTTCACCCACCCATCACCAATTATTTATATCATCCTCAATAAATGACAATCACGAAATGGCAAGAAAAACGATTATTGATGCCATCACTAAACAAATACGGAGCAGACAAGAAGAATTGCAAATGAGGAAGAACAAAATTGCTGAAATGTGGCTCAACCAGGATTATTATGTTATTGAGGATTCCTGACACAGATGATTGTTATTTTTTATTTTTATTTTTATTTTTTATTTTTTTGAGAAATTAAACTTTCAGTGACGATGGGGCAATCGTAGTCGTGGATGATCGGCCACATCGGACGGACGGAAGAGTACCACGTCATCCCCTTCCTGCCATCCGGGACTCTCCCGTTCGCGGTAGCAGAGTCAAGTGCTTTCCAGCTTCTGTTTTAGGCCCGATAGTGGTCCACGTTGATGATGGGGTCCAAGTTTTATTTTGCTACAGATAAATAAATAAGTCAAACACAACAACTAAGAACTAAGAAAGTATGACGTACTTGTACCAAAAAAAAAAAGAAGTATGACGTACCAATGTATGTTGGCTCAGACGGTAAGGAGTCTGAATTTTCTTAATCATTAGCCACCTCTTTAAGGCCTCACAGTTCTCGAATTTGGATTAATTAGAGATTTAGAACTGTCAGCTTCAGATATCAAATGGTTGTACCAAAAAAACAAAGAAAGAAGGTATGACATAGATAATAAATAGATAATGAAATATTACTGGTACCGGTTATAGGGATATTTTCGGTAATAAAAAAATTCAAACACGTTATTTATTTATAAATTATAAATATTATGTACTCCCTCTATTTTAAAATTATTTTCCATATTTCATAATAAGCATGATTTTCATATTTCAAGAAGGTATTAAATGTTTGTCCCCATGTTTTTCTCCTAATTAGTAATGCACAATATTTATTTAAATAGTATATGGATTGATAAATTTAAATTTAAATTTAAAATTTAAAATCTCACATATAAAATTATTTATTTGGATTGGATAGTGTAAAAAATTTGATAGGTAGAGGAGAGACAAGATGAAATTTGAAAGTAAAAACGCAAGATTGAGAATTATACGTTTAGCTTTATTATTTTGTAATTTTTGAAATTATTTTTTTTATTTTTTTAATTAAACTAACGGCTAAAGTTAATTTTTGTTAATGATAAGAATTACATTATATAAAAAAATGAGTTTCTAATCTCATACACTCCGAGATCTATAGTTTAAAAGTTAGATTACAATTTAACCCTTTTTCTTTTTATGGATATTTTTCAATAAAAAGACTAATATTGTAGACATATAAAGTGGAAGGATAAGGAACAACAAAAATAAACTACATAAATTAAAGGAAAAACACAATCATTATTCTTTATAATTTTATTGAGTTTTACTTTTAGTCCCACCAGTTTTTCTTTAACGTTTCTGGTCCCTATAATTTTAACAAGATTAGATAATGTTTATTCCTGAGGTTTCTAATGATGTTAAATTACAAAGATTGTAAAAATTAAAAATATTCAAAAAAACTACAAGGATTAAATGTAAAACCCAATAATACTAAAAATGGTTGTGTTTTTCCTAAACTAAAAACAAAATACAAATATAGTAAGGACCAAAATGATATTTTCTCAATAAAATTTATTGGAATTCATTTTTTTATTATTCACAAGCATCCTCCTATTAGAGGTAATTTTATTCGAGGTATAGTTGATTGCTAAATGTGAGTAACTCTTTTTCATAGGTAGTCTAGTCAGCTAAATTTAGTAATCTATTTTGCCACACATGATAAAAGGAAAATGAAGAAGAAATATCATATAATCAATTTTGCCACATAATAACTTTATAGTAACTTATTTCTCATGAGTTGTGTTTTAGGTTTCATTACCATTATTATCTCCAAAATGATAGCCACAAGAACCAAGAAGGAAACAATTGCTCCATAACCAGTGAACCACTTAGATTCTTCTCTTCCCAAGTGAAGTCCATAGAAAGAGTTAAATATTGCAAACATCATTAAGATCCTTCCAATGTTGTGATGGTAATAATTCCAGAATTTTCTTAATACTTTTGATTTCTTTCCTGGTCGCAATACCAAGGCCAAGACCTGTGCAAGAAATTGAAATCAATACTTAAAAAATTAATTGGGAAAAACCAATATTTCTCTTTTTCTTTTTTCTAACTTTTCAGTAAGAATTTTTGAAAGTAGAGTAAATAAATAGAAAATAAATCATTTGTTCATTTTAAAAAGATAGGCATAATTGAGATATTTATGCCTGACAAGAAGAGTTTACATAAAGTTTGAATCGTGTCTAGTACCCAAAAAAAAAAAAAAGTTTGACTTGTGTCTATATTTTATAATACTTTGAAAGAGCCGTAGTGATAATATGCTGGATGATTTTTTTTTTCCAATTAATTTTTTTTATTTCATAAAATGATGGTTTAAGCAATAAATAAAAACAGACTTTCAGATCTTGGTTGCTCAAATTAAATATGAACAGTGCCCAGAATCTTATTCTGAGATCGATTATGATTACATCTTGCTCACCATCATGAGTAATGTTTTTTTAAAATGATTCAATAACAAAATTTATTATAATTTTACTGTTTATACGCATGATCAGTAAGGTGGCATTCCATAGACTTTTTGCATTACATAAGAAAACATGTCTAATGTTTTTTTTAAATGATTTAATTAAAAATCTTAATTAATTATCCAAGTTAAGTTTGAATCGTATATATATTTCATTGTAGTACTAATTATGGTCATCTGGAAAAGACTTTAATAGCACAAGACCCAAAAAAAAAAAAAATTTACAGACACACATGCCTAATTGGGGAGAATTTCTCTCAAACAAAGCCGTGGTTATAACTTAATTAACCTAATTAAAAGTTTTAGATTTGAGTCTTAGATATCTAGCTGTGTCAAATGCTTGTTAGATAGCTTATCATCTTTATAACTGAACTTAATCCAGATTAGTCAGGGTTTGAAGGATTTTGGATACTGGGTGCACATGTAAAAAAATCAAAAAACATGTACATACACACACGCTTAAATAGAGAAATATTAATTAAATAGACAAACCTGGAGGCATCCAAGGACCAGAACGAGAATTCCTATGATTTTGTGACGAGTAACGTTGGAACTGAGTTTGTGAGATAAAGACAAACCACTTATGAATCCAGCGATGCCTGCACCAAAGGCAAGTGTTTGGATGGAAGCAAGCGAGTAAAACCAGAGAGGGTCCCATTGCTTGCTGACGAGCAATTGTGGCTCCCACCACATCATCAGAGTCCATCCTTCAATGTTGAGCCATCCACGGCTTCTCTTTAGCTTTAGGGTTGAGATTACGTCTGCTCTACCTGTTGCAACATACTCACATGGATCAGATAAGCAACACCAAGTAATTGATTAATTTGATTAGTTCATGTAGTTTTGATTCAGTTACAACTAATGAGTCCTTAAAGTTTAATTCAATCTAATTCATTATTTCCTCGAATTTAATTTTTACCATTATTCAGTCCAATTTTTCTATTATTAATAAAATAAAATTAATCTTCACTTCAGCCTTCACTTAAAACTTGCAAGTTACAAACCCTCTCTCAAACTTTTAGCTTGCAGACTTCGCACTTTTAAATGAGGCTTCTATATTTCAAAATCTATTTTTTTTTATTTTTTTGAAAATGTTAAGAAAAATAAATACAAGAGGTGGCTTCATATACTTTCACTTTTTTTTTTAACTTTTTCCCGTGCTTGCATCTAATATCAATAAAAATAGAAAAAAGTGCCTCATAGTGTTATGTTACCCAAAAAATCTTTTTTTCCTAATGTAATAAAATTGAAATTAGCTCAAAAAATAAAATATTATTTAGTAATTCGAGTATTCAAAACTAGTTGAAAGCCTGAGGTATTAGAGCTAGGCATAACTAGGCTACTTTTTATGTTTGAGTATTTTTAAACCTGGTCCAATAACCTAACCCACTTGAATTTCATCAAAAACTTGTCACGAGAGTTTTGCCACACCTTATGGTCTTAGCTTACTCAAACTAGATTAGTCAAAGTCCAATATGCTTCAAAACATTAGTTGGTTTGATTATTAAAAAAACAAGGATTAAAGGACAAATTTGTCTTAAAAGTTTTCTAGCAAGTACAACTGGTATCCTTAATGTTTGATAGGCACAATGTTACCTTGGATAAAAAAAATGGTGCAATATTGCCTTACAATAATGTTTGACTAATGTTAACTATTATTTTGAATGTTAAAGAACAATTTTGTTCCAAAAGTTTGTTCGAATAAGTAATTAATATCCTAAACTTTTGATTGGCGTAATATTTTTGGATTATCAGCTTTTAAATTGAAAGAATAATCTAACAACTTGTTTTAATCCAAAATCAAAAGATTTTATGTTGAATTACACTGAATGCTCCAAGATCAAAATCCATGCTAGTCTATGTTGCTCATCGGAAAGTTTGAACAAGTCTTTATTTAAACTTGTGCAAGTCAAGACCTACTCATGTGGACAAAATAAGGGCAAATTCGAACTTTAAGAGAGAGTATGCAGATGCTTGGGATAAAGTTGATTTTGCAACGAAACAATCTCAAGTGTGACCTTTTGTCAAAATTCAAAAATACGAACTATTTAATATTGATAATAGATTGATAGATTTTTCTTTTGATTTAAAGATTGATAATCTATTTATGATATCAATTGCTCTTTTACAAAAACTTTCAAAGCAAAGTTGCTCTTTACTCTTGGTTAGAATTTTCAATTAATGGTCAAACGTTGGTATGGGATGAAATTGCACCATTTCTTAAACTTTCAGGTTAAAATTGCACCCATCAAAAGTTAAGGATACTAATTACATTTGGTAAAAAACTTCCAGAACAAATTTACCCTTAATCCAAAATAAACAAATCCATTGAATAAACTTCACTACCTTGTACACGTTAGGTGCATACGAAGTTGAGTGAAAAGGTGGGATATTATATATTTGGCAATGTTAAAGCATAACAAACCTGATGCATAATCCATGTTCACAGAAATCATATCAATGTGTTGAGGCAAGAGAAAGCCGTTGCCAGAAGGCTAAGAGTTTTGAGGTCCAATGGCAAATATCAAATGTGATGAAGGCTGGTTGGTCTGCAACTGAAAGGCTACGTGTACAATGGAACTTGAAGTTGAAACAATGGACGCATTAGTGTATGGAAGATCTCCTTTGTCTCCGACGATCTCTGCTTGCGTTGTGCCACCCAGATAGTATTGTTTCAATCCACCGGTGGTGGCGCCACTGCTGGCGGGTGGTAAGTCCCACCCAATGATGGCGCTCGAACCCACCATTTGGCCGTTGCCGGAGAACCCTATTGCTCCATAAGAGTTCATGTTGATGGAGAATGAGAGGACAAAGCTCCACAATTTTGATTTTACCTGAGCATACTGTTCAATAGTATTATCATGTTAATATTAGACTTGAATTCACATTCTTTTAAGCGAAGATATCAACAAGAAAAATAATTATAATTAATAAATCTACTTTCAAAAAAAATAAAATATGGACTATAATAGGTGAATTTCATATATAAACACACACATACACGCGCGCGCATGTATGAAGCTTTTATAAGTGTTCATGAAATTGTGTGTCGTGTGTGTGCACGTTGATAGCACTATCAGCATCTTCTAAGGTTAATTAACAATAGGATAGAAGAACAAGTGAAAGTTAATTTTTTTTTCCCTTGCTTGATAAATTAAGTTTTGATCTTTCTAGCAAAGATTTAACTCACAATCCATAAAATTGTAAATTTAAATCATGTTGTCGATTGAGAATCTTGTTGATAGGCAATCTATAAATATATTTATAAATATTCTTTGAAATTGGAAGCATATTTTGACCCTAATAAATTCTCATAACTCAACTCACTCAAAATATTTTTTTACCAAAAAAAAGTTTATCTCAAATTACTTTCTAGATTATCTATCAATAAGGTCTACGTCAACAATGAGACTCAAAACAAGCATGTATAGGATGGATCATATTATTGCTATACGATCAACTTTTCAATGTCAGATTGAAAGTATTTGAATAAAGAATAATTACGAGCTCATGAACTACACAAGAAACTAAAGAGTGAGTGCGCGCGTGCGTGCGTGCGTGCGTGCGTGCGTGTGTTTGTGTTGTGTGTTCGAACGTACTCTAAGATGAAATTATGAGATGGCCAAACAAGAACACAGCGAAGAGAATTAGTATCAAAATCTATGTGCTGAGGATCTACTTCTTGGGAACAATAGTCTTGGGATCTCACCAGAGTTGATGAGTTACAGAAACAATAATGAAGACGACGAAGAAAAGAAGAGAATGTTTCATCTCTTTAATTTAATCAAATCAAAGGCAATATTAATATAGCTAACTTGAACGCACCATACTCAAGGCCCTTTATATGTTCACTTTAAATTTATAGAAGATTTTTTTTTGGCCATTTTAATTATTATATATCTTAGGTGTTTACGTACGAGGGGCTTGATATTGCCGTCTATAGCACAGAAAACTTGCATAATTATAAAACTTCCAAATTTTGGTGTTATAGAAAAATGAGAAGAGCAATATCATCGAATTGTTGCCCAATCATTGGAAGAGCCAATGTGTCCGGATACGGTAAGATTTCTGATAGATATTATATCTTGTCTAGTTAGCTATCTAGATTATTTATGTGTTGTGTGTGTAGTTTAACAACTAAATCTTATTAACTTTAACATCGTTTAATCCATATTATTATATACTCTTTCCGTTTAAAAATATAATATATTGTTTAAAAAATTAAATATTAAAAAATGTAAAGTATTTTTAATTTTTTAAGATGTAATCATTACTTTTTTTTTTTTAAAGTTCTCTATTGAATGTATTACTTTATAACTTTTTAGGGTAAAAATAAGGATAAATATCAAAAAATAAGATTAATTTAAAATAAAATAACTATTTTATTGGATATGAGATTCAGTTAAAAATATTTTATATTTTTTAATAGAGGGAGTATATTTTACAGTTCACATTGAAAATATTAATTGTCGTTATTACCCAATATTCTTCCTTTTTAAGATGAACAATTAAAATTGAATAAAAAATAATGATCTAAATGAACATGTTTTCAATGATTTTTCCATTAATATATAAAGATAAAATATAAAATTTATAGTAAGTTGCAACATTATATATCTTACCTTTTGTAAAATATAATATTGGTCACTGTTAATTCTACTATAAAAACAATAATAACAATAAGGTGTCGTCATTCTATTGGTTAAAGTGCATTTAGTCTTTCTATAAATGTTATTACAGGATCTAATTTAATTAATGTGTTGTTTGGGCTGGACTTTAAAATTTAATATTTTGAACTTTTAGTTTCAAAACATTCGGCACATTATTGTTTTTGACTCAAGATGGGAATGTCGTGAGGTTCCCGCCCGCTTCTTTTTCATGACAACTTTTTCCATTTTGTTTATTATTTTTAAGTTTATAATTTATCTGTTTCAGTTAGTTGTATCTTTTAATGAATTGTTCACTAAGTTTTGCAATTTTGTTAGCTCTGGCTTTATTTTTTTTAATTGTGTTATTATATTGTAGTGTGCAATTCATTACATCGTTTCTTTGCGGTCATTTGACGTTAAATAATACTTAGAAAATCTATTAATTGGAATTGATATCTTATAAAGTACAATAATAATGTTAATGATAATAAATTAATATGTTAAAAAAAGAGGACCTTGTTGGATTAAAAAATATTTCTAAGATGAGCATATTTTTTTGTCATATTTCAATTCAAGCCCATTCCATAATTGATTCCATAAATATACAGAGTTCAGAAGCTTCTAGATCGTCAATCTTGCAAAAGCTATTAGCAATTCTGGCACCTAATTAATGCATCATTTAGATCACATTGCATAATTACAAGTACTTTACTTTGATTATATTTGATACTCTGTGCTCCATAATATTTTCAGAGGTCTAAATAAAATAGCACTAAACAATTAATAATCTACAAAACAAGATAACCACATGTTCTGTTCGCCCAAAAAATAGAAACATCTGCATAACATATTTGATCAATTCCAGCGGGGGGTCCAAAATCTAATAATATAAAAAAATTGTATAATATTTGTTAGGTAAAAAAAATTTTCTAGAAAAAAATAGAATATTCATTTATTCTATTTTTTTCTAAGTACGTCCTCATTTTCAGGAATGGATTCTCTATATTCGGTCAAAAAAAAAAAGAATGGATCCTTTAAAATTGACAATTCATAAATTTCATAAAGTTTGCCTTTTTAAAAAAGAGAGAGAAAATCATTACCAAAAAAAGAAAGTTTCATTTTTATAAAAAATAATAAAATAAGTAAGATGACGCTAGAAAAAATATACACAGGTTTATGAATATCAACTTCAAAGATTTAATAGCCTGTTTGATTTTTATTCAAATTTTTTATTCTTAAAAACTATTTTGCAATATAGTTTATAAAATTGTTTTCCAAAATAAAAAAAATAAAATCTATTTGATTGTGCTAATTTAAAAATAGTTTTTGAAATAAAAAATTGACCAATAGTGATTGTCACTGACAGTTAATGATGATGACTTATGATAATCCTTAATTAAGGTAATTTAGTTTTTAATATATACTAGATGTAGTACATTTTTAACATAAGAAAATAAAACAAAAATAACTTTAAGATATTTCTATTTTTTTATTTTTAAAAACAAAAAATGAGAACAATTTTAAAAATAATTAGATTCAAAATACTTATCCAAACAAATTTTAATTTTTTTATTTTGAAAAACAAAAAACTAGTTTTAAAAACAAAAACCAAATAAGCTCTAAGGGCTTGTTTGTTTTCTATTTTTAAAATTTTTTTATTTTTGAAAACAAAAAAATTTAAAGACTTATTTGGATAATTATTTTTCATTTAATTATTTTTAAAACAGTTTTTAAAAATAAAAAATAAAATTAGAAACCAAACAGCCTCTTGTCTCTTGTTTTTCTTTCCAGGGAATACTTTCCTATGCAGTAAACATTGCTTAAGATTCCATATATATATATATATATATATAGACACACACACAATGCACGAGCCATGTATCTAGTTTCCAATAAGCTAAGCCGTTTTATTGCCCGAGCCATACACACACTACTTGACAAAATGTTATCCAGGAATTGAACGTAAATGATACTCTTAATTTAAATATTAGGAAATGTTTCTATAGAAATAATAGTAAACTTGATTAATTCCTTTTCGTGTGGTTGCTAAATACTAAAGCTATCTATAGCCTGTAGTGAATCTTATCATTAGCCATGACTGGCTAAATTATTAACCAATTCTTCGATGATGATGAACAGGATCAACAACCTAGGCAATGAATGAACCTATTTATAATAATGATATGTTAATATCAGTAGTACTTCTTCTCTCATCTCTCTCCATTAGGGACGAACCTGCAGGGATCCAAGGATGATAATTAATGAGGATTCCTATAGTTTTGTGATGAGTAACGTGGGCTTTCTTAGCCAAGACCAAACCACACATCATTCCAAAGACACCATTAGAACATGAAACTTGACAGCCTGTCCTTGCCAGAGCTATTCGGTTTATTAGGCCAGGCATTGGGTAGGGATCAAGCCCTGTCCTGTCTAATACAGCCTGAACATATGTCATTTATTAAATTATTTTGTGAAAAATATTTATTTTAAGATATTATATTTATTTAGAGTTATCATACACTATATTATTTTGTATAATTTTTTTTTACAATTTTTATCGTTTCCATTTTTTAATCTCTTTCTAAATTTAATTTTTTAACTCAATATTGTGTAAAAAGAATTGAAATTTATTAATCACAAGTAATTTTAAAAATAACTATTTTGATCCTAACATTAGTTTTATAAATAATATATTTTAAATAATAATTATTATATTTTTTAAAGATAATTTTAAAAAATAAAATCCCTTCTCAAGTCAAGTCAAACCTACCCCAAGTAGCGAATACTTAGAC